AGGAGGAGGGCTGGGGGGCTGGAAAGGAGGATGGGCAGGAGCAGAGTGCAGAAGCTCGGCGGGAGCAGAGTGGGATCAGCCGGGATGAGAGCGGGATCGGGGACAAGGAGCTCCCAAGGTCACCCCACCACCTGCCCTGGACCCCCTCCCGAGCCCCCCCAAGAGCGAGAGGCGGCGTGGAAGAGCACCCCGAGGTTTGTTGGATCATTTCACATGCTTTATTTCAGCAGTCAAGAAAAAAAAATAATTTCTTTTTCTTTTTAAAAAAAAAAAAAGAAAACCCCCAAACCACTTAAAATTATTATTATTGTTATTATTATTATTATTATTATTATTATTATTATACATTATACAAACTAGGTACAAACTCCGGGAAAAACACGGAGTATCCACCGGGAGATGGGCCCGGCAAGAGGGAGTGGGTTCGTGCCCCTCTGTGCCTGGGGGGGATGCAGGGATGGAGAGGGATGGATGGATGGATGGATGGATGGATGGATGGATGGATGGATGGATGGATGGATGGAGGAAAAGCTGCTGGAAGTTGACAGCGGAGCTGAAGATCCACCTGCTTAACCTGGAAAATTCATTTATTCCTTTCTTCCCTTTTAATCCCTTTTAATTTCTTGGCTCTGCTTTGTGTTTGCTCTGGGATTTGCTCTTGGGATGATGGAAAGGGGGGTGGGGGGCGTGGGGAGGATAGCACCTTTAGGAAATTCCCAAGTGGAACTGAGCACCAAAGAAAGAGGAAAATAAAGCAGAAAATAGAGGGAAATTAAAATAGATTGAGCTGAGATGTGTCTTTGGAGGTTGTAGCACCAGGAGGTCCCGGGTTTGGGTGTTCCAGGGCCAAAATTAAAGAGAATATCTAAAAATAATAATAAAACAGACAAACAAACGAAACCAACCAGACAAAAAACCCCAAAACCAACCCAAAACCAGGATAAAAATCCTGAGGGAAAGAAACCTCCAAAAGAAAATGGAAATAAAAGATCCACAGAGCAACAAAAGAGAAAGGTCTGGGGGGAGGGGGATAATAGGGAAAAATTAGCACCTTTGCTCTGAACCTGGCAGGAAAGTCCCGGCACGGCTGAAAAACTCCAAACGAAGCTAAAAAACAAAACAAAACAGAACCCCCAAATTAAAACTAAAAAAGACAATCAAACACCCCGAAAGTGGTGAGGTAGCCATCCGGAAAGGGGGGATGCAGTGGAGAGTCAGGTCTGCTCGGCGCCAGGGGCTCCCCTCGTGTACTTGGGAATGAATTGGTTTTGCTGCCTGAATGAAAAATAAAAATTAAAAAAAAGAATTCATAATAAAACCCAAAGATTCATAATAAGAAATGGCAAGAACTCAAAAGGCTGGTACCCGAATAAAAAAACTCAAGAGGAGGGGAGGGGAGAGAGACGGAAAACAAAGAGAAAAAGCAAATTATAACCAAGAATTAAACATCTTCCTGGCAGTAAAAAAAATTAATATTTGAATGAGATGCAAAAAGCGAAGGGGTTGGTGGGGAAAGGGGGGGTTTGGAGGGTGGGGGTCAACCAGTCCCAGGGGGGTCTCAGGGATTTTCGATGAGTTGAGCTGCTCCATCTCCGGGGCTGAGGAATGAGGGGGGGGGGCAAGCAAGCGAACCCACTTCCTGGTGATTTTGTTTGAAAAAGTAATTTATTTTTATTTCGTTTTTTTTTGGTGTTGTCTTTTTTTTTTTTTTTTTTTGGTTTAATGCTTTTTTTTGTGGGGGAGGGATTTTTAGGTTTTCCTCTTTTCTTTTTTTTAGAGACGCTGGATAGAAAACCGACACAAATTCAAGTCCATGTGAAATTTTCTCCTTTTTTTTTTGGCTGTTTTTTTTTTCTTTTTTTTATTATTATTATCATTATTATTACTCTCTCCTGTCACGCTTTCGGGGGGGAGGGTGTCCGGTTTACAAGAAGCAGACTGGGCCGATGTTAACGCCGAATTCCTGGTCTGGAGCGCCGACATCCATAGGAGCCAAATCAATGATGGGAAGGCGAGACGTCTTCGTCGTCTTGTACTCGATGACTGTCTTGCCCCACGTGCCGGTGTGACTCTGTGGGGACACCACGGTCATCCCCATCCCCAGAAGACGTCCCACCGCCCCGCCAGGACCCCCCGTCCCCGAGCACCCACCGTGCAGCCGTCCTCGGTGACGCCGTAGGTGAAGCGGCTGTTGCCTTCGGCCCTGATCTCGATCTCATTGGCGCCTTGGAGGAGAAGAGCCTTCTTCAGGTTGCCGGTGTCCTGGTCCATGTAGGCGACGCTGTTCTTGCAGTGGTAGGTGATGTTTTGGGCGGCCTCGGTGGACATGAGGCGCAGGAAGGTCAGTTGGATGGCGACGTCGGCGGGGTTGGAGCCCTCACCACCGTACTCAAACTGTGGGAGGAGAGCAGTCGGTCACCGTGGAGGTCCCCCAGCCTGGTTGGCCCCTGACCTCGTGGCCCCCCTGCTCACCTGGAAGCCATCGCTCATCGTCTCGCCGAACCAGACGTGCTTTTTCTCCTTGGGGTTCTTGCTGAGGTACCAGTTCTTCTGGGCGATGGTGGCCTGGGTCGGGTAGACGCACGTCTCGCCCGTTTCCATGTTGCAGTAGACCTTGATGGCATCCAGGTTGCAGCCTTGGTTGGGGTCAATCCAGTATTCGCCTGTGGGATGAAGGGAGGGGGGTCAGAGTGAGGGATGGAGGTGCAGAGCAGACAAGAGGGATGGAAGAGAGGAGCAACCCAGGGAAAAAAAGGGAAGGAGCAGCCAGGATGGAACAGAGGAGGAGCAGTTAGGAGGGATCAGGTGAGGAGCAGCCAGAGGGATGGAGGTGAGGAGCAGTCAGGAGGGATG